TTCAAAGTGCTGTCATATATGGAGAGATTTGATACTACGGCGAGAGCAGCAAAGACTTTGAGGCGGCCGTACTCTCAAACTATCAATTTTACATAAAAACGGTTATCTAAAGAATTATAAGAAATTTTATCTAGTTTAATTCGTAAAATAATACTTTTATTGTAGAATAAGCCAAAAAGGAGATATTTCAAAAAAGCTGTTTTTGACGCTATTTTTCCAATATGGCGGCAACTTGCCGTTCAAATTTGGGGTGGCAAAGTTGATTTTCGTAAAGAGCACCTCGAAATCTCTAAGATTACTAATTTTCAGAATTCCCGGAGTACTGTACCGGCAAAACGACCAAATGACTGGACTAATGGCAATATTCTCAGGAAATGCATTTATAATCGTGCAATAAGTAATGATGTATAAAATTATAGTAATTATAGTGCACGAACTCTTTTCTGCTAATTTTAATTAAACGATCATAATATTTTAGTAATTTTTTCAATACCATGATCTTATCATCAAAAATAGTTTCATCAAAATAATCAAAACAAATTAAAAAATTGATTACGAAAAAATGGCTCGGATGATCTTTACCAAAAACTAATCAGCACGATTCCTAACTGATATTTTGCGCTTTTTTAATTTTTCAAAATTTGTTCTATTTTTGACTAAAATGTGGCTGAGTAAGATTGCACTTTTCTGATAATTATAAGGAAACGCTCGCGCATAATCACATACATCATACATATATACACACAAATAAAAGCATATATTTTTTCCAATTGTACCGCCGAAGAAACATAAAATTATCAAATTCGATTTTCAGTCAGAATATTAACTTTTCTTTCGGAAAGATAGATATCTATGTAGCTCGTGTGTGCTTTTGGTGAGCAATTTATGCATATTTGAAATAAATTATATTTATTATGAAACATCTATATTCGTAACAAAATTAGTAGCTCGCAGTAAATTAGACTTCATTAAAAATGTATAAAATATGCTCATCAAAGCATCAAAAAGCATCAAAAAGCTCGTGTACTTTTACGCTGCTTATAAGATCACGTAATGATGGTCATTAGCTATAGTATCATTTTAATTCAGATATCAGCAGGTCAGGAGTGTATTCGACACTTGGGAGTAATAAACATCATACCAGAGAAATTAGAGTGCCTTCTTAGTTACACTCATTATGTATACATCTACACACCTTTAAGGCTTATGTCTCTCTTTCAATGTATGTTTTAATTAATTACCTCTGACGACCGCGACATTGCTTCTTAGATGTTCTCATTAAAAGATTCTAAATATA